TATAACACACCGTCAAAATATTCAATTCTTTTAAAACATATTCTATAATGTGCCTCCAACTTTAGACCCTTGTTTAATATTATATATTTTGTTAGTAGATATTCACGTTTTGGATAGTTGATAGTTCTGTTATGTTATGATCGATTAAGTATCTTAAAAAAAGCCATTAGATCGGATAGCTGGTAATTCTTTTTACAAATACATATTTCATTTCCGCGGGAAAAAACTTTACCTTCGTTTTTAGCTTTAACATTGCTCCCCCGCGAACTTTTATCCGTGTAAAATCGTCTTCCTCGGCATCGCGCGTTTTTTTCTTCTCCCTCTCTCTCTCTCTCTCGCTCGCTCGCGCATTGTTTCCATTATTATTAGCCGATAGCTCAGCGTTGGACATAATTCTGTTAATATTCTTTTCTTCTTTATCGCATTGCTTTATATTCAGTAAGAAACGTAAAATACTCGTATTTGTTGCTAAAAAAAATTTTACTCTGCTTAAAATTGGAGATTCTTGTTCTGTTTCCCCTTTCTTTCTCGTTTAATAATAGGATTATTATTATCTGGCTAACATTGGCATTTTTTTTCTTACAATCCAATTTACAGCTGCGACGGTATCTACAAAGCGGCGGTATCCTTGAAACGAGGAACGTTTCGAAAAAAAAAAGAATGGAAAAAAGGCTCACTCGCATTTATTTCGCGACTGGGTCGCACACTTTTCCGGAACTTTTCCGCTCGCTTCTTCTCACGCTTTTCTGTCGGCGCACGACACGCAGTTTGTCGATTCATCGGCAAGAAATAAGCGCGAGAAGTGGAAAAAGTTTGGCCGACGGTGCGGGAAGCTTTCATTTTATTAAAAAATTTTATTTTTATTCCCGTCGCGGAGGGGCCAGGCCGCTCGTGGCCGTACCGACGGTTAATACCGGAAGCGGGGTTTAATGGAATTACAACGTGTTTTATATGCGCGCCAGCATTTTCGCGCGAGAAATTTGCGGAACCGACGAAAAGCGCGCACAAAATGGGAGCCGGACGACTGGGGACGGGGGAGCGGAGCGGAATTTCACGCGCCACCGCGTAACGTGTTTGCGTAATATTTGCATGATATATTTTCGATACGCCGGCTCGTCGCGAGATCCTATAAGTTTTATGCAAAACGGGGGCCACTATTGTATCCGCCGCGTCGGCCGCGCTCGATAAATAAAACCGGCACGGGGGCTGCGAAGAAATCGGGCCTTGCAGAGGTATGACGGAAGAGGTATGCCGGTACGCGTTTATTTTCACGCGGGTTAGGCCTCGCGTCATGTCTAAAGATGCGCTGACCCGATATGCCCGAAATATCAAGAAGGAAAATCGCATTACACACGCGCGCGAGTGTCGCGCGAGAACCGGAGCGGGGACGGAACACTGTACGTATACGATTTCTTCGTCGCGGTAGTCATTCCGGCAAAAACGCAATTACACCTGCGCCTCACAAGTAGCTGAAGTAGCTACGTGTACACGCAAATGGGCAGGCTTACCCGACGGCGTGCGGTAAGCATACGAGCGTGAGTAAACGAACGTGCTTGATGCAAGACGAAACTACCTATTTTCTACATTGTTTCCTTGCGTAAACACCGCCTAAAGATATGCACCGAGCAATTTCTAAAATTAGTATAGCCGAGAGGAAAAACTTTTTTTGACATATTTCTTTTTTTTTAATCATTTCATCCAGTTCGTTTGCTTTTATTATTCTATCATTTGCTGCATTGCTAAATCGCATTTATGTGAGACTTCGATAAAGCTATTTCACAGCATTGAAATTATTATGCAAGAGATATTTCATATATATCTGTCTCTATTTCAAGCTTCTACCTCTCGTGCTACATTTCCGTTTTTATTAAACTTATCTCCTCTCTCTACTTTCTCGCGTACGCGTGATCTATAATGATGAGCTCTGCCGCGCCAATTCATTCGCAAAACTACAGGAGAAACAATTTCCGGCGGCAAAATAACACATAAGTATTCGTGTTTGAATTAAAAAATAATATGATATCGCTTTATCTAGTATTTCTTTTTCCGTTTGGTTGTTTTATTTATTATGTCGCTTGCGCAACAATATTTTCGCAGAAATTTTGCCTGAATTTTATAATTAATTTCTCGTGGATTATACATTTCTCGTAATCTTGAAAAACATTGTACCTTTTCTAAATCTATAATGCATATGTGTGTAACTAAGATTATTTTTATAGAACGGAAGTTAAACGGAAGTTCGCGCTCTCAAATGTAAAAATTTTTCATTATGATTAAATGAACTTTCACAAAGAGCGTAATATACAAGTTAGACTTTAATATCAAATAGAGAATATTTCGCAAAATTTTAATAAAGAACAGCACGTTTTTAATTAAAAATAAAAACGTTGCATTTACTACGCCCACGATTATAATCTAAACGTCCACGTAAAATATGTTTCAGATTTACCACTGGCGTAAATGGCATTTATTTTATGGAGTAAAATTCAATCAAAATTCAATGAAATTTACGTGAATTTGAATTTCGCCATTTTAGGCACGCTGCGACCTCGGCAATCAAGCGTTTTTCGTGCCTGCCTCGTTGTTACCCCCCTTCGAAGGCGAGCCGTTATCAGGGGCTCGCCATCCGATTGCTCGTTTCCGCTTTTATCGCGTTACATCGGCGCGTGCTTCGTCGAATCCTGACAAAAATCGGGTGGTTAAATCCGACGCGAGATACGCACGCTCGAGCTCGGGACAATCGGATGACGACCGGCATCCGGTATCCCGCTTACGAGTCATCCCCGACGCGATATCGCGGGCCGAGACCCACCCCGTTGGGAATCGTAGCGCAGAGGAGAGGTGAGAAGGGGGAGAGGGAAGGGGAGGGGCGAAGGGCGCTAGTAATTCGCCACCTTCCGTTTCATTACTGCTTTACCAGAGATACAGCCGCGTGGCATGCAATCGTGCGATCAATCCTGCCGCTGGTATTCGCGTCCGTCAAAGCCACGGACGTTGGGCGTACGCGAAATCGCGTCCCATTACGCGTACGTGGATCATTAATACGTCGCTACGACGTCGCTGGACCGAACGTGAGATGCGCTGTTGTCCGAGTACTCGTATGTAAAAATTATCGAAAATTATAGGAAGCTAAAGAGTTGTACGAGATATCCTCTCTTGTTTTATGCGTTGCATATACATATTGCGCTTGCTCGAATACCTCTCACATACTTTACCGTACGCTCTGTATTGATTCGAAATAATTTTATCTGTTTGTTCAGATAATAATGAATAATCATCGATTCTTCTGATACACCGCGCACTGAGATACCGATAGTACGACTCGCTTCGCAATTACTGTACGAAGGCATTAAGTTACCAATTAATTGCAAATGGATTTTCAATCAGAAGTACCTTATAATTGATGCTCCCAGAGCGCGAGCGAGCGCTCCGGTGAAACTCGCGAATTCTCACGTGATCTCGCCTCTCATCAGCCGACGGGCGTTATATTATGGACATTATGAAAGTGGAAATTTTGCGATTCGTGCAGGCGCATATTTTTCCGAGTTCGTAAAAACTGATTTGATTTTAAAGCATCTTTATGCGCATAATCTCGGAAAAAAAGATGCCCCATAAATCACGCGCCCGGCATCAAACTTCGCTCGTCCCGGCTTATTCATCTCCCAGGCGGGGAACAAAACCGAAGCGTGCGCGCCCGCGTCTCGAGAAAGAAAATTGCAATCTCGGGTTTTATAAGACGCGGGAGTGCGCCGTCGATAGTTCGCGGCCATTCTCGATCGAGCCAATCTTCTTGTTACATAATTCCCGCGGCCAATTACACACAGAGAGAGAGAGAGAGAGAGAAGGATTCCGGTTATCCTCTCTGGAGATATAAAATCCATTTTCCATCCGTATTACGTACTCTCCGTTTATCATGAAGACTCGCTCTTAAATATATCATCGTAACACACAATAGCAAATTTGTGCCACTATCTGACGTAATCAATATTTATTTCGTGTAAAACAAGATACGTCGTATCCATAAATAGTTGCTCAAAGAAAATTATTAATATCACGAAATATTAATCCAAAACTAATGTTATTGTTTTTGTCGATGAAACAGCAGATCTCCAAGATCGATCGATTTTGTGCTGTCTCCAGAATTTATAAACTTTTGTAATAAGACATTAATGTGGGTATCGCTCTTTTGCTCATTTTAACATACGGGTAATTTACTACGGAGAAATCTTCGCTTCGGAGAAAGAATTTCACGAGGAATTTACGCTCGTGGGAAGAATGAGCTTGTGGAGCAACCCTTGGAGCCCTAAAAACTTAGTGGCAATCAATCAACCACGCCCAACGATTATTAGCGCAGCTTTGTGGAGAGTAAGAACCAGCGTTTTAATCACATCTGTGCGGGATAGCCGTGCGCAAAATTACCTCGTGTAATTTAATATTAATTCAAAGTGATATTAATTCGCGAACTAATCCCTTTACAACATAACACGGCTGCATCATTAAGTTGCACAATTCTGTTTTTGAAGTACATGAGATAGTCGTGTAATAATTCAGAGCGTAACTCTTTTTTTTATCTTAAAGTGAGATAGTCGCACAATAATTTTTAGAATCTAGCGGTATTGCGCACAGCACAGAAAATCACGTTATATCGATCGTGTTTCTTCACGGTGAAATTGAGCAACGATGTAACTACGGTTCTTAACTATTAACGGGTGGCGGGGTATTTTCAGCTTAATTCAAATAACCATCTGTCCTATATATGTTCCGTTACGCCAGGTAATTGCGAACACCGCTAAATACTCTATTAATTATCTTCGCCAGTCGCGCGACAAATGCGGCGGCTTTATCAATAAAGGCCATCACGTATATATACCATATATATGTATACAAAACGCTGTTTTAACCGCGAGATAAAATTCCCTGCATGATTGTCTTTTTTTTTTTTAAGTTATTTGGAGAAATACCAGATGTAACAACGTCTGTTTCCTTTTTGTCTGTTGCAGTGTGCGTACAGTGGCCCGAGGGTAGGTGCTTCCATGACGTGCCAGAGCCGGCACTGCTGAATCTCTACTTCGAGATCCGTGAGAACTGTCACGGCTTCTCCTGAAGGCAACGACCAATCAGGCAACGACAATGATGACAGTGACGGGCCCTCGCGCTCCTCGTCTTGTTGCGAGCGCGCGGATCATCAGTATTTCACTTCAGTATCGCGCGAGAGAAACAAATTCTCGAGAAATAACGTATTTATTTAAAAGTCTTTCCAACAGCCGCCACACACCACGACCAAGCCAAAAAAAAAACGAATAGCCACGTATAGCCACACAGAGAAAGGACGAGGGTCCTTGGTTTTTCTTTCTTTTTTTTTTATTTTGTTTACGTCGGTACATTCCGTTTCGGAGGAACAGTTCCTATCTCGCGACTTTAGTAGAGACGCGCCGTTGAATGGATAGAGTCGACGGAATGATTCTTCGCGCGAGGACACCGATCTTGTGACAATCGGATCTGCAAATGTAATCCTATGCTAATCGATTTTTTTGCAGATTATTAGATATATCAGGTATTTTTTTTTATAAATATGTAAATACAATACAATTAAATTATTCTTTCAGTAAATTTAAATTCAGTTGAGCCTCTTAGGCATACTTCTACCATTGTAGATTAATTTTAATCTCAGTTTAATTTACTCTATCTTTTTCTAATTCTTAGAATTAGAAAAGGATAGAAAAATTAAGTTAAACCGAGATTAAAGTTAATCTACGTTGGTAGAAATCAACATTAGATTATATACATAGAAATAATATTTATTAATTGATAATATTGTATTTTACAAAGAGACATTTTCGTGTGGCGAGTAGTTTCTCAAAAATTACGGGCGCAAATCTCATTCAATCTCCCGTCGTCTCCGTTCATTCGAGCCGCGTCTCCTCGTGAGAGCGACGCGTAGCAACGCGTGCTCTCGTGTTTCCGGTGATCGTGATGGATCTTGTTGTGACACAGGTCTAACGCTGACCCTAAACGCGGGCGCTCGGCAGAATTCTCTCGCTGAGCGCGCGAAAAACGGGATCTTCTCGCGTCTCTTTCTTTATAGGGTTCTCGATGATCCCAGCAGAAGCAAGGTGGGTGATCCAGAATATTTATTTACCTACAACTAATTGCTCGTCGTTCAGCCAGCTCGGGATTAAAGACTGTCTCTCCTGTTATACATACATATATCTTTTTTTTTTTTTAATTGTAATTGCCTTTTCTCTATCGCCCAACAGGAGAGATACACCATGCTCAGCCCCTCCTAAGTTTCTCTCTCACACAACCAACTTTTTCTTTTGTTGTTTCCCTCGAGCCGAAGCGAAGTCCTCCTATCTTATCATCGTCCGTTTCTACTTCGCGGTGAGAAAGCTACAAGAAGTACAATAATAACAGCTCTTACGCTCGTACGGAGGAAAATGCGTTGTACAAAATAGAAGAAAGGAGAAGAGAAAGTCGAGATAAAAATAACTTACGATAATAGAAGTGCCACACGTTACGTTAAGAAAAATTATGATCGGAAAGAGTGTTAAACGAAAATACCGCCATCCAGTAATTCGATATGATTATTTATTGATATCGCGAATTATTGGAAGAGCATTGTATTAATTAATAGTTCCTATCGAATCGCATTTCTCTCGGCACTGTTTTGTGATGCGCATTGTCCGCCGTGTAAAATGGCGTTCAGAGCGGAAGCGGTTAATCGTCACGCGAAATCGTTCGCACGAGCTGCAATTTTCGATCTCCTAATAGCATGCCACGAAGCGCATGAACTTGAGATTAACGATTTAAGAATCGACAGTCACGATTCCGGGCAAGAACCTGGAATGAGATGTTGTTTTTCTTTCGGCATCATAATTCGGGACTTCTCGCAGCGAGAACATAATCGCGAATTCGCGAACTTCTGATGCTTTTACCATCGCGTCATTATATCCTGCATCGCGCCAAATTTCGAGTTCCTCTTTTACAAAAGGTTGGAAGTTGAAAATACAACTTTATTTATTTTAAGTATTTGTTTTACGTTCTATTTTTTTTTTAATGTTTATTAAGCGAGAAAAAATTTTTTATATCGGAAAAACTCGGAAATATCGCTTTTGTAAAATCGTCGATTCAACATTGACGCGTTTCCGCCTTTGATTATATATTTACCGATCCGAGCAATCAGTTCTCCATCATCTAAACATACGACTGTTTCACTCGATAAATTGCTCGATAATTTCGGACTAACTTATACATTTAGATTTAACGAAACGATACAGGGTAATAGAGTATTAAGGATAAATAAGTTTTTTTTTCATATCACAGGGTAATAGAGTATTAAGGATAAATAAGTTTTTTGTTATATTTTTATGAATTTTTGATGACGTAGCATCAAGTTCACGTGAGTTCTGCAAGCGGTTTTAACTCACCCGCACCAATACCACGTGTGTTCGTTCCGCTGTCTATTTTTATATAAATGTGAATTTTTTACACTTGGCGAGCGTGATCGCGGCTCGCTGCCGAGCTTAAAGCAGTTAAAACGCACTTGCAGAATCCACGAGAACGTAGAAAACAGTATTACGCAACCGCATGACTGTATACTCTATTGTAGGGTTAAACCGACATTCCAAAGATCGTGACATCGATTACTCGCCAGACGAGTAAACTGGGGTAATTCGCTATAAAATGACCGTATATGAAATGACGCGATCGTGATTTATTCCGTCTTTGCTGATCAATCGTGTGCCATAATATACCCCACTTTACAAACGTAGAGAGTAGGCTTACTCAAACAATTTTTGATAGATTAAGTCACACGGCGTTAGTCGCATAGCGATTAGACTACATATAGTTAATCGTCTAATGAGTGTTTGTGTATGGACGATTAAGTGTTCTACGAAAAGTGGGCATGGAGATATTTGTAGAGACAGAAGATTATTAAAATGGGACGGAGGAGAGTGACAATGAAAATAGATGGATAAATTAAGTGAGAATACATGTGAAACGGGGAACGAAAACGTGACAAATGTGAAGAGAAAAATCATTATTTTCTACAAGTCTGGCATAAATTTTATATATGAACAAACATTAATATTCCTATTGTCGGTGAATATCGACAGTATTTCAGTTTTGCGCCAAAGTTCGATGAAAGTCCGCAAAAAAAAAAAAAAAATGAAAATTTGTTTGAAAATTAAAATATTGATTCAAAAATTTGTCAACGCGCGTGACATAAATAAAATGTGAGACGTATATTTGCTCTCGCAATTTTGTTTTACATAATTAATATTACGGCGCGTTTAAAAACATTTTTTAAATTTTTTATGTGGTTTAAAAATTAATTTAATTATACAAAATAGAATTTATAATGTCGCGAGATGACGAGCTGTATTATCGAGGCTTGGAGCAAAACGAGCAGCGCTGAAGCAAATCGTTAATCGATACGAGAGCAGCGCTTGTTCTTGCCGCTGGTCGTCGAAACAAATCTGCGCGACACACAAGCGGACCGATTTGTCACATCTCAGTCAATAAAGAGGAATTTTTACTTTCCGTACAGCGACGAGTCAATCGAAAATCGATTCTCACGATTGCACGCATCATGCATGTATCTATTTATACGCCGAAGAAAAACAGAGAATTGGCAGATACGCGAGCCGTTTAAAAACTTAACAGATCGTGTAAGATGTTAGCGCGCACTTTTTTCGCGTTGTAAAATTATATAAATTGATAATTTTTTTCTTGAGAATAATTAACGTAAACTTATCAAATAGTTTTATTTGATTGTTATAAAAATTAATTGGCAAAATTAATGGATTTCTAAGAATAATTTTGAAAAATAACGAAAAAGCAAATGCGAACAAAGCAAATGCGATTTTACCGTTATGATTTTATCTGCCTTCTTCTCTAGTTCTCTCTTCCTATTTAATACTATGCTGCGATCGCTCCGTCGACGTGTTCATTTCGCACATTTCTCAGTCTTCCCGCGGAAATATTCCGCCGCTGAAACTTTCCGCTGTGAGTAGTCGAGATATTTTCGTCGACGCGTTCTGTCTATTCTCCGTCTATTCATCGAATCGTCGTCGTTCGGTACTCCCTGCGTTATTCGCTCTCGAAGTCATATACTCGCGAAAGTATTCGAGTCGCATGCTTTACTCTCTTTCTCTCTCTCAAACTGAGAGAGAGAGAGAGAGAGAGAGAGAGCGATCCACGCGCTAGCCACGTTAAAGAAATTCCCCGTTTTCCTTTTCCTCGAAAGTTCTTCGCGAAATTCGCCCTCTTGAGTGTCGCTCGAGCGTGCAAACCTCGAGCCGACAGTTTAGCGATGGGATAACGAAAAGGAGACGCGAAAGAGAGCCGTCCGAGGAAAGGAAGTCGGAATCCTTCCTCTCTTCCTGGAATCCGCTCACCTCTCTGTCTTTTCATCTATCCCAACCCTCGCGCTCTTCGCGCGGCGCGATATTACTACTCTGCTTCGCAATTTCCCGAAGCATTCCGCGTCCCCTAACAATTTTCATTCCATTTCATACCGTTTTCCTCTCCGTTCTTCTCCCCGCACCTGCTATCTTCTGCCTTTCCGTTCGCCCCGAGTCCGTTTCTTTCTCCAATTTTACCTTCGTGTCAGAATTCTTTCACTTCAGTCGCGCGCTGCCGCGGTCGCGCGTCGGTGACGTGCGTGGAAAATTGATATTGCTGCCGGAAAAGAAAAAGATTTGCCTTCTCTCTTAGACGTGCAAGATTTCATTGCCCTCGGCGAGACGCGGCGTCCATTACGCTCGAAGACAAATCGCCTAATTCCAAATTTGAATCGCTGAATCTACGAAGACGTTCTCGAAATTCCGTGAAATTGCGGATGTCGCGTGAATTTTATTGACTCGCGAAATTGTGCGGAGTCAGGAATCGACTTCGGAATTTTACGCTTGTGATTCCCGTGCTGTGTACCGACGGCGACGATTTTGGTGATGCATGCTGTAGGACTTTTATTTTGAGATTACGCTTACGTTACTTGAACACACGACGGCGATCCACG